ACAATTCATTACTTAATAATAACTATTTCATAAACTAACATAAACTACTTGTCTCATGTTTGGAATATTAGGGTTTGTGTTGGAGATCTGGATACCGACTTGGATCGTGATATCACTTTCCGAACTGATATTTCTACCCTATGTCTGAGTTACAAGAAAGTCAGTCTAGGATAATTCAAGCGGACACTTACGATTCTAGGCACAGAAATCGTAAGCCAAAATGCTAGAGGATTCTGTGAAAGTATGATGAAAAACGAGAGCTTAAGATCGTAACCCTCTTCTGAAAAGAAGAGCCGTTTATATAATAAACGATATTAGGGTTTTATTAGGTTGGGCCGTCATTAGTTGCTTTGGAAGCAAGTAATATTAATCCGGATTTAATGAGGATTTAGGGTTACCAAAACTAACGAGTTTCGTTAGTTTTACCATAAACACCCTCAAGAAATTGAATTTTCCAGCCAGGGGCTCTGCCCCTTGGACCCCGCTAGGGGCGCCTAGACCCCGCCAAAGGGGCGCTGGACCCCCGACTAGTCGTCGAACTGGCTTCTAATTCGATCTTATACATGCGTGCACTCCGCACAACCTCGTACATATAATAGAGTACAAATTTTGAAGCCCCTTAGCTCACATGTTAGTTCCAGTTACTTAAAATGACATGGTGACACTAAAATCACCAACATCTCATAATAAAACTCTTATTCCTCGATTACACCATACAAATTTAATTACCATCTTGAAATGATAGGTCATCCGTTATATCCATCATTAACCACTATAGTGGTCGGCATCACATCATGCATCATCACATTCTCTACCACTAAGCGTGAAATACCTACCACTAAACACACCACTCCACCTCATTATTTTAATTAAATTTAATTTAAAAATACATTAAAAACATATATATTTTAATACTAGTTTTTCATTAAATTAAATATCACATTACATTAAAAAGTTACATTAATTAAAATAAAAAATAATAAAAATAAAACACCTAAAAATACCGAACATAACTAAAAAAAACTATCTCATATTGCTATATCAGGCTCGAACAGACTCTTTCATCGCGGGAAAAATCTCTAAATATTCGTTTTCGAGATCGTCCCCTTTCATCTTCAAAATCTCCATATCGGTTTTTGTTTGAAGCGTCGTTTGCGCCTCTTGGAATGACGTTTGCGCTTCTATCATTTTTGCTCCACCAGACTCATCGTTTTCCTTAGTTTTTTGAATGTGGACATATCGATCAAATTTCTCTCCAAAATGATCAATAACACTAGACCCGAAGCCGACGAACCCGCTTTTTTTGCTTTATTTCTTCCAGTGGGCCGACGAAGAGGTTGCTCATTTTTAAAATCGAGTGGATCATCGTTGATGTCGATGTGTGTTCGCCCATCCGATTGTTGGGAAGTTACATTTGGGTTTTTTGAACGCTTTGAACCGGAAGAGGTTTGTGAAGTTCATTCTGTTTGCTCTTTCCATTTTGGAGCGTCTTTCAATTTTAGTCACGGTTTCACATACGCAAAAGCTTTGCGAGTTGGCGCTGTTTTTTCAAATTGATCTAAGGCCGCCTTGAAGACATCGAAATCGTTTGACCCACTTTTTCGTATCTTTTGGAGCTTGTTGTAAATTCCTTCAAATTCGGTACATTTTAGTCGAATATCGCGCCATTTTGAGCTAATTTGATCGGGATTTCGAATTTCACTTCTCGTTAACGCATAAAACATGTTTCGAACTTTCTCCCATAAACAACTAAAGGTTTGATTATCTCCTTCAACTGGGTCTTGGGAAGCCGAAACCCACGCCTCCGTTAGCTTTTCTTCTTCCTCTTTTGTCCATGGTACCCTTTCTTGGGTAGTGGGGCGGGTCGTTTTTTTTTTTTCTTTTTTTGGTTGAGGTGGTGGTGGTGAAGGTTGCGTTTCCGATACAAAATCTGGCGAATGAGGTGGTTGTGACGATTGTGGATGGAATTGTTGTTGGAATTATTTGAATTGTTGAAATTGGTAGAATTGTTTTTGAAAGGCAGTGAAAGGTTTGAATTATTGTTGGAAAAGTGTTGTTTGTTGGATAGGGGAACCAGTTTGTAGCAAATTCATAAAACCACCTTGAGGTGATTCCATGATCGGGAATTGGCGTGGGGGGGGGGGGGGATTTTGGTTGGGATCCATTTTTGTTGGTTGTGAATTGTTGTGTGTATATTGTGTATAGAGAAAGAAAAGAATGGTGTAAGAAATGAGGGTTTTGTAACACTTGGATTAAGGTATTTTCCCTTTTAACCCTTGAAGCAAAAATTTATTTCGAAAGGAGTCCCCACGTACGCTGGGCGTACGTTTATGTACGCTTAGCGTACATGGGCATGAGGAAGCGGGAACCTGAGCGACGTACACGGGGCGTACGTGGCCAATGCTAAAACCTTAATTTTAGGGCATGAGCCCTATTTAAGCTCACTTATGACTCTTGGACCATCACCCTTATCAGCCTTCACTACTTATTAATGTCCCTAAAATCCTAGTTTGTTAGTGAGAGTGATATTTGAGCTTGAAAGTAACTTTGGTGTCCATTTTGGTGTGTTTGCAAGAAGAAGAACTTGGTGTGCAAGCATTGGACGTGGTTGAGCTTCAAGATCCTAAATCTACTTCATCTTAGGAAGCTTTTTAAGGTAAAAAACTCATACCTTGTTGTTTCCTTTGATAGATAGAGTTAGGGTTTGGTTTATGAGTTCTTTTGGGTCCATGGATTCTCTTTTGTGAGTTTGGCAACTCCAGAAGCTTGTAATGCTAGATATGAGTCCCTTTGGTGTGTTAGAGGCATACAAATGCTATCTTGGTGGTTGTTATGGCACCATGGATGGATATAGGTCCTTAAAGTGAGTCTTGATAGAAAAAATTGGATGTTGGACTCCCATAAGACATGCAAAGGCATAAAGTTGCCAACTTTATGCCCTAGGACCCCTTAAATGACCGAGATCTGGAAGTTGGAGTTAGTTCCTGCATGGATTAAGCACTTAATGGCTGAAAATGCTTAACAACTTAGTACGTCGGGTGTACTAAGATGTACGTCGCACGTACTACTTGGGACTCGAGTACGCCAATCGTACTGGTATTACGTTGCGCATACGCCCCAGTGGGCCTTTGGACAATTGTTGGACTTTTATGGCTTTTGGGCCTTAACTAGCTTTTGGGCTTTGGCCTGTTTAGGGTAGGAGGGCCTCAGATTTTGCTGTGGGCCTTAAGTGTTATAAGTCGGGCCTTTTGGGCCTTATGGCCCATCATTGTGTTATGGGTCGGGGTTGATTAAGCCCATTATGGGTAAGGTGAAGGGGGCCCTGACCTTAGGAATTGGATTGGAATTTAGGCCCATAGTCATGATTGTTAACCCATTCCTAATTAGGGTAATATTTGTATGTTAAGTGTGGGATTTTCCGGATCAGTAGCTGAGCCGTTAGTATTTACCAACATACCAAGGTGAGTCTCCTCCTTGTATCCATGGTTCGAAGGCACCAATGCCGGCCCATTATTCGGTTATGTAGATTGCTAGTTGTGGTGTGATATATATATATATATATATATATATATATATATATATATATATATATATATATATATATATATATATATTGGTGTTTGTATGATTGGGTTGAAATATACCCCAGGGCGGGGCCCAATATGGCATGTCAGGTTGAAATATACCCCAAGGCGAGGCTCATTATGGCATGTTCGGGTTGAAATATACCCCAGGACGGGGCCCACTATCGTACGATTGGGTTGAAATATACCCGAGGGCGGGGCCCACACTTGTTTATTGGGTTGGAATATACCCCAGGGCTAGGCCCGATTGTATGTTTAGTGTGTGGTATTTTGGGAAAACTCTCTAAACGTTTGCTTACAATTTGTATTGTGGTTTCAGGTACTTCCGGTACTAAGGGGAAGGGCCCGACTTGATGGCGCAGTATTCACTCCCCACTATTTTCCGCACTATTTGATATTGTCACTCTGATGATTTGATATGATGATTATGTAATGGATTTTAGAATCAAACTTATGATTGTAAATCTTAATTAAAAATGAAAAAATTTCTCCTGGTTTTTGGGCTGTTACAGGTGTATAGTGTGGTATTTATTTGTAAGAATGTTGTTTGAAAAAAATTGAAAATTAGCCGTTCTACGGCTCTTGAACGGTCAAATGAGCAAGCCTTCTTCCATTTTGCTGTTGCCCTTCGTCCTCCCATAACGAACCTCAACGAAAACGCTGAACCACGACCGCCCGACATGGTGTGCACGAACCACGATCGTGACCAGCTTGACCATGGACCGGCCGTTGTGAGTATACGCGATTGTCTTATGATTAATAATAACATTTAGCGTAATTAACAAACAAATACTTGCTTTCTTCCAAATACAACATAATACGTTTAAACAATTGTATTTGTACTTTAATACTTGTAGACATCATTCGTTTTAATATAATTCAATGTTAAATCCATATTTACGCAATAGCGTTTCAACTTTCCTTTTTCAATTTATGTTACAAAACAGTCATTTAGAATAAAAATATGCAACCACATTTTATTCTATAACAAATTTTACAGCATTGCAACTGGAAACTTATCATCTCATGAAGTGAATTTATTATGCAATAATATATTTTTTTATCAACTTATATAATAAATATTCATATTTAAATGAAACAATATTATATACATTGTTAAGACAGTTTTATTGGGCATATTACTGAAAAATATGAAACGTATTTGAATAAATACATATTTAACCCGTATAATAATTGACTTATAACAAAAATATTAGATTTATTTTTAATACTTCCGAAGAAACATTGCATTCTTTTGAATCGTTTGTAGAATTTTTTCGAGTTTTGACAAATTGTGTATCATTGTCAATTCATATTCTCTCCATGGAAGGCTGTTGCTAATTCTGAAAACGGATTCATGGATAATGATTTTGATTTGATTGGGTGCATGGCGTGAAGAATTTTTGTGCAGACGTTATGGATCCCGACGCCAGCACTTCTCACTCCAAGGACCATTGCGAAGTCGTCGTCAAAATCGACGGCGAAGATAGGGATGGTGAAGGAACGACGGGAAGCAGATATCGACGGAGCTCGAGCCAGCAAAGCGGCGGTGGCATGGAGGATCCACCGTCAAGGCTGATAGGCGAGTTTTTAAACAAGCAGAAGGATTCAGGAGGTGAAATGACGTTAGATATGGATTTGGAGATGGACGAGCTTCGTCATGGAAGCCATTCTGGCAATGTTGTAGATAGGAATCCAGAGAGTCCGAACGAAAGCGTCAATCTAAATACTAGGGTTACGAATTCGAGAGAATTGAAAGTTTCGTTTCAACCTCCTTCTAATTTATCGTCTAAAGTGGTAGATATTGAGCCTGATAATGAACGAGCTAATCAATATAGCGAATCATCAGACGAGGATGAATTAGACGATATCCGATTACAAGAACAACAAAACCCTCAGAGACGAAAATCGAACAATCTGAGTAATTCAGGACGCGGATTGGACGATAGAGGAGGAGCAGAGGTTTTGAAATGCACCTCGTTTCAAAGAAGAGCCCCAATCATTCGAACAAAAACACTACAGTCCAGATTGATCGATCCACCAGAGGTTGAAGTTGAGGTCTCGTTATCAGGACGACTGGGCAGATCAGGGCATAGATCAGGTGTATTACCTCGCCCCTCAGGGATACTAGCAAGAGGTGAAAACGAAGAGGAGGATGAAACCTTCATCGAGGAAGATAATCCAGATGAATTCAAAAGTGCAAAACTCGACGCAATCACACTCATCCAATGGATTAGCCTTATTTTGATCCTAACATCATTGATTTGCACTCTTACTATCAAAAATTGGAAGCAGTTGGTATTACGAGGGCTTCACATTTGGGAATGGGAGGTTTTGGTTCTTGTTTTGATATGTGGCAGGTTAGTTTCCGGTTGGGGTATACGATTCATTGTCTACCTTATCGAGAGAAATTTCCTTTTACGCAAAAGAGTTCTATACTTCGTGTATGGAATCAGAAAACCAGTTCAGAATTGCATCTGGTTAGGTTTAGTCCTAATTGCTTGGCATTACATGTTTGATGAAAGAGTTGAAGGCCACAACAAATTCCTCATAGTCATGAACAAGTTAATGGTATGTATGCTTGTAGCTACTTCACTATGGCTTGTGAAGACCCTCATGGTTAAAGTCCTGGCATCTTCATTTCATGTCAAAAAGTTCTTTGATCGGATTCAAGAAGCTCTGTTCAACCAATATGTAATCGAAACCCTCTCAGGCCCACCATTGGTTGAAATCCAAAACAACAAGATAGAAGAAGAAAAGACATTAGCAGAACTCCATAGGCTTCAAAACGCAGGTGCTAACTTACCTCCAGATCTTGGGGAAACTGTCTTTCCATCAAAATCCGGTAGGATGATAGGGAGTGGAAGATTACAACCCCAGCCAGTTGGCATCAAGAACGATGAAAAAGAACAGGGGATAACAATTGATCACCTCCATAGACTAAATCCCAAGAACGTATCAGCCTGGAACATGAAGAGGTTAATGAGAATCGTCAGGCTTGGGACATTAAGCACATTGGATGAACAATTACATGACATGAATGAACAAGATGATGAATCAATGACACAAATCAGAAGTGAAATCGAAGCCAAACGTGCAGCTCGCAAGATTTTCATGAATGTTGCTAGAGCTGGGTCAAAGTATGTTCTTAATTACAACCATTTCAAAAACCATGATCATCATTTTTTAGCCAATGTAACATGATTGAGATTCTAGGATGGGAAGTTTGTTGTTTGCAGGTTCATCTATCTTAACGATTTGACGCGTTTCTTGAGAGATGATCAAGCTGTGAAAACCATGTCTCTTTTAGTAGGAACACCTGGGGATGAAAAAGTCAGCAAAGGAGCTTTAAAGACTTGGGTGGTAAGAATTATAAAACTAATTTATATTTTTCGAATAACAAAAAGCCCTAAATCCACAATTTGATCTGAATTTACAGGTGAATGCATTCAGAGAACGAAAAGCACTTGCATTGACACTAAACGATACAAAAACAGCAGTCAACAAATTACACCAAATGGTCAACTTCTTAGTTGGAATCATCATTGTCGTTATTTGCCTTCTGATTCTGAACATCGCAACAAGCAAGTTTTTAGTTTTTATAAGCTCCCAGATTGTGGTTGTGGCGTTTATATTCGGGAACACCTGCAAGACTATATTCGAAGCCATAATCTTCTTGTTTGTGATGCATCCTTTTGATGTTGGTGATCGATGTGAGATTGATGGAGTTCAGGTAAAAAGAAAGACACATCTTTTTCAATTCCCACGTGTTAATTTAATTCTATATGAAATTAATTAATGCATAATATATTGTGTTTTGATTTCTGAATCTTTGACACGTGTCAGATGATCGTAGAAGAGATGAATATCTTGACAACTGTTTTCTTGAAATGGGACAACGAGAAGGTTTATTTTCCAAATAGTATTCTTTCGACAAGAGCAATTAGCAATCATTTTCGAAGTCCTGATATGTGGGATTCCATCGATTTCTTCATCCATATCGCAACTCCTGCTGACAAGTTGGTTGTCATGAAACAAAGAATAATCAAGTAAGAAACTTTCATCATCGAATTACCAAATATGTACACGTTTATTTATATATTTGGGTACGTTGTTGGCAGCTTTATCGAGAGTAAAAAGGATCATTATTACCCGAATGATATAACAGTTGTGTCATTGAACGTTGAGGAATTAAACAAGATAAAGCTGCAAATATGGTGGAGACACAAAATAAATTTTCAAGACATGAGTGAGAGATACGTGAGGAAAGGTGCAGTGATTGATGAAATGGTTCGAATCTTTAAAGAAAACGATGTGGAATACCGATGTCTGGATATCAATATCAGAAGCATGCCGCCACCTGTTACTCCTACTCGGAATCCTCCCGCATGGGGACCTCCTCCTCAGGAGTAACTAGTTAAATGGTCATGAATGGTACAAGTTTAATTGCATGATGTACAGGTTTACGATGATGTTTGAGAGTCCAAATGTAGAATCTGAGCTTGGGGAAATCGAGGATGTGACTGTGCACGAAAATAACTAGTTTTTGTTGCATGGGATTTTGTTTGAAGGACAAAACGGATTTAATTTTGGAGATATTGAGAAAAAATGATTTTGTTGGAATTATAATTTTGATGATGGTTTAAATTTGGAATAAGCGGCTTGGTCCTGATTGATTTCGAGTAAGGTCATGTTTAGCAGCGAGTTTTTGAGGGTTTTTATTTTTAGCTTTTAGAACAAATGATCGAATTAAAGAAAAAAAAAAGGCTTTAACTTTTAAACATAAAATCTCAAAATGCAAAAATTTCAGAGCTAATTGCTTTAAGTAGTTTTTTAGTGCTTTTAGTGTTTGGTTTTTACTTAAATTTTAAGTCGTTAAAAGCTAAAACTAATTTTGACAAACATTTATGTACAAACAAAAGTTACACCTTATAGATATTAGCTATCATGTACCAACTAGTTTTACCAACCACATCCTAAACATACAAATTAAAATGGTGTGATTTGACTAAATTTAATAAAAAAACACAATGTGATGGTCATTGGTCAGGTTTGGTTGAGTTCAAGTTAAACCTATTTATTAAATAGGTTGAAAATCTTAATCCAATCCAACATAGGTCAGAGATTCTTCAACTCAATCCAACCTCTTTAAAAAATATACTCAAATCGGGTTGGTATATTTAAATTAAAAAAAATACATAAAATAATTCACGTGTAGTAAAATAAGTTAAAAACACTAATAATTGTTTGAAATTTTAAAAAATACAATCATTAATACAAATATAATATCCAAATATCGTGAATAATATTGTATAATTTTATTACATAAAATTTGTACATATTAGATATATAATGATATACTATTATGATTATAAATAGCAAATATTTATATGTTGTCCTCAAAAATTTATACATATATTAGTTACGTAGTTGTACATATTAGATACGTAATGATATACTAAATAGCAAATATGAAGGATATATGGTATTTATATGTTGTCCTCAACTAAAAGAAGCTTAATAAAAACATGAATATCTAAACAAAGATCAAAGTAGTCAACAAAAATAAAACAATAAAAATAAAAGCTATATTTAAACTGGTAGGTTGAAATCATGTCATGAATGTACTTGGCTCGGTCCAGTTGGATGATGGTCTAGACAAATAGAGTTGGAAACTTGATACTTCTTGAGTGTTCTCAATTAGTTCGGTTGGATCATGTTACTCTCCCTAGTGTGATGGTAGATCGATGTGCTAGAATAGATTTGTTCCGATTAAGGTCAATGTCCTTGCTTGGAGAGTTGGCCTTAAGCGTCTCTGTACGAGTCGTGGTATCGACTTGGAATTGATTCAGTGTCTATGCTGTGAGCATCACTACCATGATAATGATCACCTATTTTTTCGAATGTTATTTGGCGATGCAGATGTGGAATTGATTGGGTTTGTGGGTGGATGAGTCGCTACCATCTTTCTTCAATATAGAGGACATGTGTCTGTGGATAGATGCTTATGCTGATACTCATATTCGTATATCAACTTTGGATACAGTTTGCTTGACTCTGATTGGGGTTCTATTGACTTATATATGGAAACATGTTAGTTTTTGGAAATACAAATTACAAGAAGGTCCAACTGTTTTATTCAGTTGTTTGTTTTTTGTTTAATTGGTTTTGTGATAGAAATCATAAGACTAGAAAAAATTAGACCGGGAGAATTTAAAACCCCCTTGTGAACTAATTGTTCTTTGTTTTTTCCAATTAACTGGCCTTTATAAAATTCGATCGTTCCAAAAGAAAAAAATAAAATAAAGGTCATGTATTTTAACCCAAAACAACCCGTTATCATTGGGTTGAGTCACTTTTTGTTGGCTATATAATATTAATTTAACTATTGAGAATTTGTTTTTATTTTTTTAATAAAAACTACATAAAACTTAAAATTCTAAAAAAACTATTATAGTTTGAAATTTGTTCAATTATACCATTTTTTATAATTTAATTATAAAATTTTGAATTATTAAAAAAAAAACAACTTTAACTTGAAGAATATTCATCTAGTTAATTGTTTTTTTTTTTTTTTTGCAATTAATTACCGAAAAAAATTGTTCTTTTTTATAAAAGTTTCTTAATGATAATGTCACTAAAGCCCTGTAACCTAACAAGTTTTGGTTTAAAATGTCCCTTATGTAATTTTTTTGTTGTTCCAAGGGAATGAATTCCTCTTTTACCAACTAATTTAGAGACATGACAAGTTTATAGTGCCAAAATTGACGTATGACATGCGAGTGGCATGCGTCATCTCCCTCGCCAACCCTTAGCATCTTTTTGAACACCACCCCTAACATGGTTTAAGGGGGTGCGCTAAGCCAAACTCGTCGGTTCATCAGCGTGAGGAGAGAAGAAGGAGATAGTCTAGAGGGAAAGGGTAGAGAGAGTGTATGTGAGTGAATTTGATTGGTTGAGGTTTTTCTTTTTTTCCTTCCAAAATATATATCAAGCTCATCACCATTCCCTAGCATCATGTTATGCTTAGGTGGCAAGCCAAAATATGATGTGTCAAATCTTAGCACATGATAACACATGCTACCACTCCCTTTAGCCTTAAGAACTCCATGATTAAAGAATTACTTAACCCTCACGTTGACTTTCCAGACTTCTAAAAGGTGAGCTCGATTCATGACCCTTCAGCTTTCTGTGTGTTCATACTTTGTACTCCATACGAGCGAAGAATTAGCTCGTTCCAGGATGGAAGAAATAAAGATCCATCGCATTACTTAGCTGACTTTTTTAAACCTTCGTATCAAAACGAACAAATATAATTCATATATCCCAACAAAATCAAAAGTCATTCTCCATTGTTCTTACAAAGAAAAAAAATAATAACATACATGAATAAGCGCCTATTGTTTAGTATTTACATATTTCAGCAAGTACCATAAAATGCTTCTTCTAAGTTCTAACGGCCATTCAAGGAGCAGTAACCATATGAATTGGAATTCATTATCTTTATTTTTACGTTCTTTGATGTTTATAAAATTAGACATTTAATTGGGTAATAATCGATCCTTTGTCTAAAAGAAATCTTGAAAGCTTAATGGGGTTTGATCGTAATGACATAACCAGGGTAATAACTAACAAACCTTATGTCAAACCTATTTTAATCATGAGGCCTTTTTAAACTGTCCGGTTCTTTAACCCGTCTTGATTTAAAAAATGGTTAGCTAAAAAGACACCCAATTTTTCCATATAGACACCCTATTTGATTTTTAAGATATTTTATTGGTTGAATTTGCATTGTTTTCCGAAAAAAGTAAGTTATAAATGGTTTATTATAGATTGACTTTTAATAAAAGTGTTCGTAGGGTGTCGGTGTCAATTTAGCAACACCCTTTCAAAAATGGTAGCTAGTTAACTTGGTTATATAGCAAGGGTTTGTACGGTAAATTTGGTCTTAAATTAAAAGATAAGGAAATTAATTTGGTCATGATTTCATTATCTTTTGGATGATAAAACTCATCCAGTAACTAAGGATTTTGATAGAATTCAGTTCAAATTGACCCCATGTGGCATGTGTGATTGTGTATTTACAAATCGTGGGAAGGGTAACCAAAAGGTCACTAACACAATAAAATCAATCATGGTAATGAGAAAAAAAGAAAATAGGTATGAAAGAAACTGAAACAAAAGTAGTAATCATTAATGATGATTAAGAAATATTCATCACAAAAAGCTCCCAATCAAAATGTTAATGATAAGCAAGTGAGATACGTCTATGGGCAATGGTCCTTTTGTGGTTGTCCATTTCTAGAACAACACGATGGTGATACACCCAGTCGATTAACTTAAAACGTGGCATTTCTCGGTCAACTTCTTGAGCTTCTTCACCTAATCTGGTCTGGATCTCCATGGTCCTAACTTCATAGGAGCCATAAAACCTTCTGTCAATTACACGATTGTAGTTCATTGGATTTGGATTCTGTGGTACAATGCCTTCAGCAAAGAACTGCCAATCATCAACATCCCTCACTCCAAGATTTGGAGTACATGCAGTTCCAAGAATAAAAGCCAGGGTGAGATCCTCGAGATTGTAATTATCTTCAGGTGGAAACCAAGAACAAACACGATTGTCGCTGTGCCAATCAAATAACCACCATGGTCGACCGTTTGGATCCCCAGAGAGTTGTGTGAAACACCAACACTTTCCTTCTTTCATGATTCGGGTAAAACCATAAAAGAGGTCTTCTTCAGGTGTAAAGTTGTTAATGCCAAAGGGATTTGAATCGTTGACATTGATAGAGTCAGATATAATGGGTACATATTGGACGTTATCAAGAGCATTTTTAATATGAGTGGGGCGGATTGAAGCGTTGAGTAATGTCAGATAAGAATCATACTCGTGGGGAACCCGCGTGAGTTCTTCATGATATCGCTCGTCAAACGCAATGGAATAAAGATTGATTACAGCCTCCCGATTGGAGACATAAAGGTCGATGAACCACATGGAAATGTAGCATCGAGCAGCGTAAATATGTGGAGACACGCCTGGTGGAGGAGGAAATGAGTATTTCATAAATTTCTTGTAATGATGCCACTGAGTCATAAACAATCTGGCATACAAATCAACCAGGTTATCGAACATCTCTTGTGTTCGAAGGTTAACATAGCGTTGGTGAGAATCACGGATGTTTCGGGTTCGTATTTGTGAATTTGTGAAAAGGAATTCTGAAAGTCTGATTTGGTTTTCAGACCATTTTTGAGACGGAAAGCTGTAATTCTCAGTCATTTTGTTTGAATACTAAATCTTGCCTGTAGTTTTCATCTGCTATGGCCTTTGCCTAGGGTTTCGACCATTTGGCATGCAATTCTGCCGTCTCCCATAAAACTATTTACCACTGATCAAACGTTGATACAAAGTCGGATTAAATAGACAAAGTTGTATAAAGTTTAAAACAAACAAACAAAAAAAATAATAATGACCGAACGAAAAGAAGCTTGTAATTTGAAATTTTCAATAAGTTAAAATATTCGGATGGATGGACAAAAAAAAAGGAGGGATTAGGTAAAGGTTACTCACTTACGCATTTTCAATGATGAAACAACCACTACAAGAATATGAGTCTACAGCGACAAAAGCTATTGGGACAATAAATATCGTTGCCATAGAGGATCGTATAGGGACAACAAGTCGTCACTATATGGTTGACTGAGTTAGTTTGACTTCTGAATCTAAAGGGACAATAAATCGTTTCTGCAAAACTGAGCGGGAAGAAAAATAAATGGCGGGCATCCGAAAAAGCTGTAGGGACGACATATCGTCCCAAACTTAAATTAATTTATATATATATATATATATATATATATATATATATATATATATATATATATATATATATATATATATATATATTTGTAATGCGAAACAGCACTAAATGGATAGCTCTCAAGACAGTCACCGCACCGCGACTCATTGATGCATTAAAACCCCTTTGATTATGTGCTTCGCAAGCTGCGGGTCGAAGCACGGCAAAAGCATCAGCAGAAAAAGTTGGTTCGAAACCCTAGCGTTGTCGTAATCGACTCGTCGGAGACAATCGAGCGCCAACACCACTGGAAGTTTTGGTTAGGGAACTGATTCGTACACAACACTTTTTCTCCGTACACAACAATTTGTGTTTTAAAGTGTTGTATTGTACAACTCTATAATGCATGAATTTTGGTTAATGCACTTTTTATTTGCATAAATGTGAATATTTGTAAAAAAAATTATAAAATTTTGAGATATATATAATTACATAAAACGTAAAAATAAATTCACTTAAAAAAAAAAAGAACAGTTAAATAATTTTTTAATAGAAAATTACAAAATTAGTCAAATACATTAATTAACTTACAAATTTAGCCAAAAAAAATAGAAATTGCAAAAATAACCACTAAATTCGCAGATGGAAATGCCCCATCTGCGATTTTGGCTTTCCATCTGCGAATGTACAAGTGCCTAAAGCACAGTTGTGCTTTAGGCACTTGTACATTCGCAGATGGAAAAGTCCATCTGCGATTTTTGCTGTTCATCTACGATTTTCGAGGTGAAAATCTATAAAACAGTTTTTTTTTCTTCATTTTTCACTCTTCAATATAGAAAAACTCTCTCTCTCGGAGATTCCTTTTGACGATTTCTTGAAGAAAATGGACGATTATTTCAACAATCCCGAAAATATGGTTAGATTTTAACTCTTTTTATGTTTTAATTAACATTTATTTAGTATATGTCTTTATTATTTTATTATTTATTGTATTAGTTAGTGTAACAAAAATGAAATTATATTGTTTGTGATAGGGTAATTTTGTTGTATTTGATAGTTTTAATATTTGTTATTAATAAACTTGAAGTTTAAATACTGTTTTGTTATTGGTTATATGAATGTACAAGTAGAGACTGCGTAGAGTGTGCATCGGGTAGTTGTACATTTAGTAAAATGGTTAGAATATGCTAATTTTTTTAAGTTATTAGTTAAATAAATTGTTAGAATAATGTTTACAATATGTTTTGGTTAGTGGTTTAAGTTGATAAATTGATATAGCATGGTTAGAATATGTTATTTGTCGTTTGTATAGTTGTTGTATAACTTGAAAAATTGTATATTCTTATCGTATAATTGTTTTTATAAATTGAAAAATGGTTAAAATAATGTTTACAATATGTATACAATAGTCGTTTGTATATTTGTCGTATAAGTTGAAAATTTGTATATATTTGTTGGTGAAGTATAAAAAAATTTTATAGTATGGTTAGAAAATTTTATCATATGTGTACAATAGTCGTTTGTATATTTGTCGTATAACTTGAAAATTTGTATATATTTGTTGTTTTAGTAGAAAAAAGTTTATAGTATGGTTAGAAAATGTTATTTTATTTATAATTTGAAAGTTAAAAATTGTTTGTATATTTGTCGTATAACTTGGAAAATTGTTAATTTAGTTGTCGTTTTAGTTGAAAATTTGTTTGTCAATAAAAACAAAATCAAAGAGCATGAAGAATGGATAAAAAAGACTAAGAATGCAATCAAAACGACTGAAAAATGGCTTGCTGAGAAGGACGAGCAATTGATACACATTATGGTGCAAAAGGATCGTTTGGAAGACAAAATGAGAATTAGGGATGACTATATAACAATCGAGAAAGAGAATTATCCATTGCAGTTCCCTGAGTTTAAAAATTGGTTACAAAATTGTTGTAATATTATCATGATACACCTTTGGTTGCAAAAGGATCGTTTGTTGTTTTTTTTTTAAATAACATCTTGTAATTGTTATAATCAGCAAACTAAATGTTATAATATAAACTAAACTAAAATATGAAAGCATAGCAATGTCTTGTAAGATTTAATAAAAAATTACAATACATAATAAGTTAACAACTCTTCATTTCAATGTTGTTTTATATCAAAATCAGCGTCATAGGTTTGTGAGCAACTCGCTAAACCACCAATATTAAATGTCATTTCTGCAGTAGAAATTGTGCGACGTGCTCCACTACCGGACGCCCTTCCAGTACAATTGTTTCTCGTGTGTCCTAGTTGACCACATGTAGAACACTCTTTTCTAATTGGACCCTCGCCTTGGGATGGAATGTGGTCTGTGTTTCTTGGCCTGCATGGCTGACGTTTATCCATTATAGGTGGCTTAACAATCATCAAATCATCGGGGATATCTCATTCGGATGGCTTTGGCAAAGGGTTTATTGATTCCTCATACGTTTTCCTCAGTGTTTCGGTAAAGTAAGCATTTAATGCATACCTCGAGCAGTCTTGGTAATTGTTCACTGTTAAACATCTTATGACATGACCACAAGGTATCCCATCAAGTTGTCAATGCCTACATGTACATGTCATATGTTGGAAATCAACAATCACGTTTTGTGCCCCCTTTTTGACCTCGCATTTCGTATTTGAGATCATGCGAACATCCCACTTACTAAAAGTTTTTTTGTTTTCTTTTACAATATCATCGGCCCAAAGGGTGAGTATTGTTGTTGCTTCCGCTAAAAAAACAGGCAAAATGAAGAAGTTAAGATCAATAACATTAAATTAATAAAACATTAATATTAAAAATTAACTTAATACCTGCAAAGTTACGTCTTTGAAACCACCACTGTTGCATTGTTGCGCGAAAAAAATCGATCAACATAAGTATCGGCACCTTACGTGCATGTCTAGATAATGCATTTATAGACTTCGCACTGTTGGACGACATAAGATTGTATCGGTTCCCTTTAAAATGTGCCATTGACCAAGTTTCTGGATTTATACTTTTTAAGTACTCCAATACTGGTTCTTTTGTCTTTTTCATAACATCCATGGCAGCGTCAAAAGCATCACATTGTGATTGTAATATGGATGACTCGGAGTAATAAAACTTGTGTTTTGAAAATTTTAATGCATCAAAAAATTCATAACATGATTTGTTAAAACTAATTTTAACCTTGTATGTGTGTCTCTTAAATTGTTAAAACTAATTTTAGCCAATTTGACGCATCTATATTGTTAAAACGAATTCTAACGGCTTTTAGATTTTCGGAGTTTTTAATTAATAAATATTTTATTTTAGAAGCTAGATTATAACCCGCGTAAAACGCGGGGAACATATAAAAATGAACATATAAAGGTATAAAAAAGTTTGCACTATAAAAAAAATAAAGTAACAGAAACAGACTTAGCATTATTGGTAACATTGAAATGTCTGGAAAAAAAACAATGAAACACCTGAATATCTATAATCGTTGAAGGATCTCTTTGTAGACATAACTTTTTGTTTTATTAGTTGGATGACCTTCCTCGTCATATATGAATAATCAATCATTTTTCACTTGTGACGCGAGAAATAAAAAACATATAACTGACAATGAGTGAAGACGGGCCTACGCAATTTATAATCCAACATTTGATAATTATTGTTATTGACTTTTGTTAATGACCATAACAAAATAAACAACTATAGGGAATTTCCTCCGCTAAAAACGGAATGAGATTCTTTTATTAGACGGAGTTAACTTCCTGCAATGTATATAAGTAGTCTCGTTGAATAATCTAGCATATATGATTCAGACTTCAATAACGTGTCTTCCAATCCTAACAATATGTAATCTAGTACCATTGCATAGTCCTTTGGTTTGCTCGATATTACGAATTAACATGATTGGAACACCTATTTTTAGTGTAAGTTTATGGTTGGAAATTCTAGATGCCTTAAAACCATTCAACACAACTGAAGAGTAGATTGATTCCTCAAAAAAATCTGGTAACTCTATCTCACATAAAGAATTTGAACTCATATATGTTTTCCCTTCATCTTTCATCAATCCTAAAATGTAGTCATTGGTAGCATCGAATTCTTCATTTGTAGGTACCAAAATAGATTTATCTTGAAAATATGATGGATCATCAAGATGGTTTTCAAATGATGGATAAATGGTGGATACAATTGAATAAATATGGTCACCTGTAGAGCGAACAACAACGTCTTCTGGAAATTCAACTTCAGCTTCACCATCATTAGGGCCACCAATATTACCTTCACTAATTTTAAGAATCCACTCATCAAATGTTTTTGTCTCATCCAAATCATTAGTTAGACAACCAAACTAAAGCCTCATGTTTACAGTTAAACGTAAAACTTTGCATTCTCACCATAATTCAACATGGAAAGCTAAACAATTTACGATATACCTAAATAATCAAATGCATATCAACTCGATAACATTAATTGAAAATGTTCAAGGTTTAATGTTAGAAGTTTGATGTACAATTTAGGAATTGATTTTAGATTTACTATAGTTCAAAGTTCATTGCCTGTTTTGGATGATTACTCAAATTACATTGCTAATCTCAGTGGGGGTCACTAATATGGTTGATGGTCTGATCTTGGTCGATGTGATGTGTTCTTCTCAATCATGAAATCAATGTGGATAGTCCGCAGACCATGTGCTGAGTAACACCTAAGTGAAGCATTTTAACATATTTAGAACAACATAAATCTATTACCTTGCATGGGATAGTTAGGTAGGATCAATCAACTATTACAGGAAGACCTTATTACAGTAAATTAAGAAAATTAGGTTATGAATATGCAACATCATTTTGTATATTGATCATATTCTTTCTGGTAAAAAAATATTTGAAAGGTTTCCTAGTAATGATCATTAGAAAGTACAAAACATGTCAAATAACATTTTAGCATTATTACATAAGTTATTTCATATGCTGTTTTGAGAGCATCTATATGATGTGTAAGCTACTAAAATGAATAAAGATTTTGAATAAATTGGGTTAGTCAAAACTGAGTTTTTCTTTTTCTTGTTCGGGTTGTCATATCAGGATTTTATCTTTTTCAAAAAAGATTTTTCCACATATGTTCATCAAGGTAGGCATTCAAGAAATCTACCTGCAGTTAAAGAATTCCAAAAAAAGTTATTTTTTAAAAGTACAATGCTATTAATGAATTTTTTTGCAAAGTTCAACGCTATTAATGAAATTCGCTTCCAGAACACTGTCCTACAAATGAGCTTCAATGTAGGAAAACATGAAATGTTTCAGTATCATCTAAAAATAATCCAAAATAATATTTTTTTTTAAGTACAATGCCGTTAATGAACTTTTTTTTTTTTGCAAATTTTAATACTAAAAAAAATTCCCTAGAAAATTGTCATATTAATGACCTACTAATTAACATTTAAATTTTAATAATATTCTTCGCTAACCACGTGACCCAAGAATTCGAATCTTCGAATCCAAAATTCGCACTTGGAGAACTTCGCGTAGAGTTTCTCCGATCGCAGTGTTTCTAAGACCTGACGCGGGTGTTGACTATGCTCCTCCTTATTTCGAGAGTAGATAAGTATGTCATCGATCAATACAATAACGAATTGATCCAAGTAAGGACGGCACACCCTATTCATTAAGTCCATGAATATTGCGGTCGCATTAGTCAATCTGAATGACATCACTACAAACTCGTAGTGTCCATAACGAGTTCGGAAGGCTGTTTTGGGAACATCTTCCTCTAACACTCGTAACTGGTGATAGTCGGATCTCAGAAAAATCTTTGAAAAGTAATTCGCCCCTTGCAGTTGGTCGAACAAGTCGTCTATGCGAGGTAGAGGGTATCGGTTTTTGATAGTAAGCTTGTTTAGTTCTCTGTAGTCAATGCACATACGGAACGATCCGTCTTTCTTCTTCACGAACAAGACCGGTGCTCCCCAGGGTGAGAAGCTTGGTCTAATAAAGCCCTTGCTGAGCAGTTCGTTTAGTTGACCGGATAGCTCCTGCATCTCAGCTGGTGCTAGACGATAGGGCGATTTGGATACTGGGGTAAGTCGATTCTGAACTCGACTTGACGTTGTGGTGGTAATCCTGGTAGTTCTTCTGGAAAGATGTCAGGAAAGTCGCGTACTTCTGGGATGTTCTTTATGTCTTTCGTCTCTTGGCTCATATCAACTAGATTAGAGCTTGGAGGTTGCATATGGTCGTAGCCAAGGATAGCAAAGGCAGCCGAAAGGTTTTAGTTTGGTGTAGTTGGGTAATTGTTGAAAGGGGTGTTGAAAAGGAGTTTGGTTGTTTATAGCTTGCATAGGGAAGCCGATTGATTAGGTAAACGATTGTTTGAAAAGCATGGACCAAAAGGTGAGGGGAAGGTTGGCATAGTGAAGTAGGTCGAGACTGGTTTAACTATGTGACGGTGACGACGTTAGGCCACACCGTTCTGTTCTCGAGTATGGGGGCGTGGTGTAGTGAGACTGTGAGAGATATTATTGTTTTGAAGGAAAGATCGGAGACCTATATACCCTTCTCCATTGCCAGTGAAGAGAGACACCAACGGTGTTTGAAAGAAGTTTTCAACAAGCTTTTTAAATTGTAGGAATATAGTACCCACTTCATATTGCTTTTTCATTGGATAAAGCCAACTATATCTGACGTAGTAGTCAACAAAGATGACATAATATGTAAAGTTATCGATTGATTGTTGAACTGGCCCCACACATAAAATAAATGAGTTTCAACGGCTTAGTGGTAACAAATGAGTTCTTGCCAAAAGGTAATTTGTGGCTTTTATTAATTGAGCAAGAAGAACAATGGAGACGTGCTGAGAAATTTTTTGAATTAAGACCTAAACTTGAAATAATTGGCTTAAACACTTCAATAGATGGGTGGCCAAGTTTATGATGCCACTGAAACGAAGACAAGGTGGGGGTGACATTGAGTTGATGCTTGGATGGCAAGGTGGTATGATATACATCTTCACTATTCTCACCCAGCATGGGATGCACCCCCGTGCATAGATCCTTCACAAAAAAAAATGACTTGTAAAAAATTCAATGGAAATACGGTTAGTTTACATAATTTTGCAGCTGAAATAAGATTCTAACATAAATGAGGAACACACAACACATCAGGTAAAGACAATGTTTTATGTGTTGTGTTGATATGCTTTGAACCAATATGATAATTATATTACCATCACCAAGTAAAGAGAAGTGAGATGTAGAGTGTGGAGATAGAGATATCAAATATAGAAATCTTCTAGCGTTCTCATAACCTTAATAACATACACATCATGAAGTTTATAACACCAAAAAACTTCCATTCGAATTCAAAACTTCATCTTAGTATATTTTTTTTTTCCGAATAATTGTGCATAAATTAAACATTCTAACAAATACTAAAATAAAATGTATCAATTTCTAAATAGAACTCATGCAAATTGTGAGGATATTACTATCCCTCACAACCCACTCAATTTACTGTCACATCAGCTCCACATCAACTTTTCTATCTCCTTTTTTTTCTATCTTTCTCAACCCACAACATATAGAAACTCTATCTTTCTCAACCTATTACATATGAAAATCCTATCTTTTTCAACCCACTCAACCTATTTGCCACATCACCATTTTTTATTTGATTAAATTAGAAAATATAAAACAAAATAAAATAAAATATTTTTTCCTATAAAAATAAACTTTTGCTAAAATAACACAAAAAAACCAAAAAAAAAAAAAAAAAAAAGAAAGATAAGGCATATTCACGCATGAAAACAAAAAAGAGGAATACTTTTATTTTGTGTCCAATCAAAGAAAGAGGCAGACTCCAACTTTACTCCACAATTTATTTCACATACATAGATATGAATGACGGGTTCATTAACCCGCTGGAATATAATGAATTCTCCAACCCGCTGCAACCACTAATCAAGGGGTCGTAACCCAGCGGTACCTCCAGTACCACCCTAACCCATTTCTAACCTTTCTCACGACTCCCTCCTCCCTTAGATCTATTTGGGCCTTTGTATAGGCTAGGCATGAAGATGACATGAGTTCTATTACTTTAAACGAGGCATTATAGCACATACTAATCGAGCATAGTAATGAGAAATAATGGGCATGAAGCAAATTGAAGCAAAGTCATAATCTTTATTAATCATGATTTAGAAATGTTCATTCCAAAAAAGATCCCAAGTAATATGTTGCAATCAAGCAACCAAGAGACATCTAAGGGCATTGGTCCTTTCGTGGCTATCCATCTTCAGATCAACACAATGGTGATACACCCAGTCGATTAACTTGTACCTTGGCAACTGTCTGGTTTGGTAGCCATGAGAAACATTTTGTGGGACAGAAAAGTCGGACTCAATCTCCATGGTCCTAACTTCATGAGACCCATAAAACCTTCTGTCAACTACACGATCATAGTTCATTGGATTTGGATCGTGTGGTACAATGCCTTCAGAAAAGTATTGCCAATCATCAACATCCCTTACTCCAAGATTAGGAGAGCATGCAGTTCCAAGAATATAAGCAAGGGCGAGATCTTCAAGAGTGTAGTTGTCATCAGGTGGAAACCAGGAGCAAACACAATCTTTAATGTGCCAATCGAATAACCACCATGGTCGTCCTCTTGCATCACTTGAGAGTGGAGCGAAATGCCAAAGATTTTTTTCTTTCATGATTTGGGTAATACCATGAAAGAGCTCTTCTTCAAGTGTGAAGTTATTAATGCCAAATGGGTTTGCATTGTTAACATCGATACACTCGCCTATAATGGGTATGTATAGGGCGTTATCAAGAGTAAATTTAACATGAGTGGGTCGGATTGAAGCATTGAGTGAAGTCAAATAAGAGTCATACTCATGGGAGAATCGAAAGAATTCTCCTTGATATCTTTCGTTGAATGCAACAAAAGAAAGCTTGCTTACAGCCTCACGATTGGAAACATAAAGGTCGATGAACCACATAGAGATGTAACATCGCGCAATATAGATCTCTGAAGATACGCCTGGTGGAGGTGGAAATATGTCCATAAACTTTCTGTAGGGATCCCACTGACCCACAAACATGTGGGCATATAAATCAACCAACTTGTCGAAAATCTCTTGTGTTCGAAGGTTAACATAACTTAACCTGCTGAAAAATCCCATTTGTGAACTTTCAAAATGATATTCTGGAAGTCCGAGTAGGTTTCCAGGAATCATTTGAATTTCAGTGGCTAGAACGTTGTTACACACTCGAGGAATTCTGTCAATCTCATACATTTTGTTGAATGGAATAATAAATAGCAAGTTTCTATATGGAACCCTAATAATTGCTTACACTTTCCGTCTGTTATGGCCTCTAGGGTTCACAACATGTGGAAGATCGCTGATAACCATCAGGAAGACAATAATCTTTCTCTATCCGCAAATTGTAGTAGGCATGGTATCTGGCTTCAATGTTGTGAGTATATATGCATCCATCTCTGCGCTCTTTCTCCCTGGAAATACTTACTAGATCAAATCGTTGACACAAAGTCGGTTTCATTGACAAACGTTCTTATTTCTTCACGACCAAATAATATACGAAACCCACAAAACCACAATGAATGATGATACACAAAAGCATAGCAAACACAAATTAAACAAAGTAAATAAAAGAAAATTAAGAGTAACAGTGATCACTTAAACTGTACGAACCAGTAAAAGAGAAAATGGAGTAATGGAGAGATTAGGTAAAGGAATCCTCGGTGAAAGTAGCGAAACAGCACTACATCGATCGACAGCGCGGCTCGTTGATGGATTAAAGGCTCTGATTGTGTGCTTTGCAAGTTGCAGAGGCGTAGAACGGTAGAAGCAGCTCAAGAAACCAAGCGACTACATACCGGAACTTTTTGAATAACTCAAGATGTGTGTTAGGGGTGTTTGTTTTATCTTTTAAACCAATTTTTAGCCTTTATCTTTTCCTAAAAGTAAAAAATGAACCAATTTTCCTAAAAGTTAAAAAGGAACCAAAAGATGTTTGGCAAAGGGAAAAGATCTTTTAAAAAGAACTTTTCAGAAATAAGGAAAATGCATTTTAAAAAGTCACGGAACGTGACTTTTTGTAACTTTTGAAGCCCTTAAAACTGAAATTACTTATATACCCCCAACTACCCTAATCCCAATTACCTTTTTTAGTTATTTTACGTGTAAAAGTTAAACCAAACATTTTTTAAAAACAATTTTTGACTTTTGCTTCTCAAAAGCTAATCCAAACACATTTTTAAAAACATCTTTTGTAAAAAGTCCTTTTACAAGAAGTCTTTTTACAAAAATGACTTTTGAAGGTAAAAAGATATCCCAAACACCTTAGTATTATTATTATTATCATTATTATTATTATTATTTTCTCACTGGTTCTATCTTTAGAGGGTGTAGTTTAGAGTAAAAGAGTTTTAGGAAGAAAAAAAAATAAAGAGAGAAAAGAAGAGAAAATGAAGAAAAAAAAATTGCCTATTTTCGAGAAGTAAAAGAAAATTAAACATTTTGTTTTTTTTTTCTCCAAATCATTCAAAATCAGAATGAAAGTTAAAGAGTGAAAGTGATTCTTTAATTTTTTTTTTTAATAAAACTTGAGAATACCAAAGTCTTTGGTTATAGATATAAGACAAAATTGCAAAAATGGTCCCTGTGGTTGGCAAATTTATGTACTTTTGGTCCAAAACGAAATGTTGGTGCACCACCGGTCCAATTTTGAATACCTTATGTGATTTTGGTCCCTATGATTGACATTTTTTGTGTGGGTTTGGTCCACACTCAACTTAAAAAGACGGATATGCCATTATATTTCTTTTATTAATATCTTTTTTAATTTCTTATTATTAAAAGAAAAAAATAACACCTACCCCAACCCTCCTACTCACCTTTACCTCTCTCTCTCTCTCTCTCTCACTCTCTCTCTCTCTCTCTCCAAAGAGCGTGGCTGCTGGGTACTTCCCTTTTAATTGTTTCCCTTAAAAACCCAAACCACCATACGCCCCTCCCATTTGCTTCCTTCTGGCATTCAATCGATCACTGACACAGAGAACCCTTCCTTTGTTCTTCTTTATCTTCATCAATTGTATAGCTCCACCATCGATTTCCTGAGAAAAAAACGGATGCTGCTTCAACCCTAATCACATTCCAAGATTCGTAGGTATCCACATTGGCGCCACCTTGATACAACCAGCGATCGGGGAGTTTGTCTCCAACGAAGATGGTGGCGGTGATTTTGGGGGTAGTGGAGTATCTTATGATGTGATGTGATGTAACAGGTAGGCGAGGCAGAGGTTTTGTCTTTTGATGCGGAGGGAGGAGATGGAGGAAGAACAGGGGAGAGAATGAGGTTTTAGATGAGAAATACGTTGAAGAATTTAGTCTACAAAACCCCTTTCGTTTTCTTCAAATGGGTTCATTGCCTACTGTGCCCTCAATTTGTTGGGTTTCAAAATGAAAAATATGTTATGCCGGTTATAAAATCAAAATCCCAGGAATGCAATGTTTGTATTTTGCTAGAATTCAAAATCATTTTTTGATTTCTTCCATAAATATGTGTTTTGTTGGTTTTAAAATTGAAATCTCAGCAACTCAACATTCAGTTTAAGTGACTATGGTTTGCTTTTTTGTTCTCACTGATTGAATTAGGGACGACTTCAACATCCAATTTCTTTTGTTTCACCTAAATGCCGACAGAAAAGGATAAAAGATTATCGGTTAGTTCTTGCCGGAGCTGCAACTTCTCGAAAAACAAGACTTGCCTCCTTCATCTATAGCCTGCTGTATAGAGATGGGGAAGGAGAGATGGATCCACCACCAGCGGAGTCTAGTTAATCAACGTGTGTCAAATTCCGGCAAAGTCTTTCAACACCAGTCAACTCAACCACCTTCAAGAACTCGATCTTTTTATTGTATGTGTGTTTCTTTTGTTAAGAGAGAAATGACAAATGAAATATAAATGAAAAATATAAATTAAATTAATTTATGTATTTCTGGAATTAAAAGAAAATGAAAAATATAAATTGTAAGGGCAATTGTCTTTTTAAGTGTGTAGGGACCAAAAACAATAAAAAGATCCAAAATTGGACCAGTGGTGCACCAAGGTATCGTTTTGGACCAAAACTGCAGAAATTTTGTAACATCCCAAAATTTAAGGCCAAAAATTTCGTTTGAATTAATTAAAAACCACTTAGTAAATCTCGCTCAAACATTTGAAAACATTCCTAATAAGACAGTTATCAGAGTTTTAATCCCAAAGATCATCTATTGCGGAAAACGTAGTGTGATGCGCTGTGATCGCCCCGAGCTCCTTCCTTGGAACAACATTAGTACCTGAAACAAATAGTTGAAAGCCGTAAGCACGAAGCTTAGTGAGTTCCCCAAACACCACATACCATACATATCAACTGAGCCATACATGTCATACATACTACGAGCCATACATATCAATCATAACCATAACAAGTAAGGTGCTATGTGCCGAACATAGTCTTGCCATTATGCCACGGGTCGCCACGTGGTCTTTCTTGCCAAGCCTGGGCCACTCCCTGGGTCTTACAGACAAGTGCCAAGGGTCACCCCATGGTCTTCCATGCAAGCATCACAAAGACAACATACATACTACTCTACGTAGCTAATCAGCATACAGCGTGCCAGGAGCCACCTCCGGGTCTTTCATACATAATAGCATACAGTGTGCCAGGAGCCACCTCCTGGTTTTTCATACATAATGCCTAGGGCTAACCCCCGGGTTTTCCTTACCATACATAATAACATACTGAGTGCCAGGAGCCTCCTCCTGGTCTTTCATGCATAATTCCTAGGGCTAACCCCCAGGTCTTCCTACCATACATAAACTAAATGGGTCGGCATTATGGCCGTAGACCCATACACACAGTGAGGAGACTCACCTCGTACTGCTGAACTGTTGATAACCCTCTGTCTGCTAACCAACCACTCTCCGAACTGCTGCTCCTCTGGCTCCCCGAGCTACCAATACCAAATAATAGTAACACTTAGCCTAGCTGTCCTCAAGAAGTCAATTAAGTCAACTCTGGTCAAAGTCCTAGTCAAAGTCAACCTTCCAGTTGACTCGAATCGTCGAGTTGTTCTGCCAACTCGCCGAGTCCATGCTCCTCAAATCCCAAAACAACCCCGACTCCACTCGTCGAGTCTAGCGAGAACTCGACGAGTTCTCCTCCATCTAACACTTCGGGACAATCTTCAACCGACTCGCCGAGTTCATTCTTGAACTCGTCGAGTTCATCATCATCGTATGAATATCTAGGCCATGACTCGCCGAGTTGTATGAACAACTCTTCGAGTTCATCTTCATAACTAAGAAGATTGTCTTGGACTCGCCGAGTCTGTTCATACACTCGCCGAGTCCCATGATTTCCAGGTCCAAGACAAACCCATAGCAGGCTGAGTGTTCCTTCCACTCAATCTAAACCATTTCCAGAAGACGTTTTGGGGGAAAAAGCGTCCCGACTCGCCGAGTCACCCAAGTGACTCGCCGAGTCCCTCTTTGTCCAAAACTATACAGTCGATTACAATGGGTCTCAATGTATCAAAACCATATATCTGACCTCCTAGGGTCCATTTCTTACGTAAAGTTCCAATCTTGACGTCCATGCATGGGGTTTTTGGCTCAAAAGCCATAAAAGAGGTATATATATGAAGCATGGGTCTCCCATGGCCATAAAGTTGGCACCTTTATGCCATGGGAACCCTCAATGGTTCCAGATCTGAAGTACAAACCCACTTATGCACACAATTCCGACTATAGCTTCACTAAGGCTTAGGAAAAGGTAGAAAATAGCCCCAAATCAAGATCTAAGCAAAGAATAGTCAAGGTTTCAGCTTTATACCTCAAGTGAGCTGGAATTGGGGCACAACCTCTGGATCTACTAACTTCCACTTGAACTTCCAAGTTTCCTTCTTCTTCTTCAACTTCAAATACACACAAAAGGCACCAAAAGTCTCAAGAACACTCAATAATGGCTTAGGGTTTTGAGTTAGGGTTTCTCTGGGTTGGGAGGAACGATGGAGGCTGGGTTGAGGCAAGAAAAGTTGTTTAAATAGGGTGCAAACCCTGAACATTAGGGTTTTGTCCAGACAGCTCCTACTCGTCGAGTCGGTCCCACGACTCGTCGAGTAGGTTACTAAAACTCCCGCATAATGTCGAGTATACTCGACGAGTTGGGCCTCCAACTCGCCGAGTCCTAGAGTAATACCAAATTTCTTGAATTTGAATACGTACCAAGAACCGGGTGCTACTAATCTCCCCCACTTATTTTAGACTTCGTCCTCGAAGTCTGCTGCTGAATCCGGAAAAAGCTCCGGGTAGTGCTCTCTGATCCCGTCCCCCGACTCCCAAGTCCATTACGAGCCCTTGCAGTGCCGCCGTTGCACCTTCACCAGCTCCACCCTTTTGTTCCTTAGATCCTTCGACTTCTTGTCGAGGATAGCTATTGGCCGCTCGTTGTTACTCAAGCTGTCACCCTCCTGAATATCCCCTAAAGGCACCACTGTTGAATCGTGAAATTTATACGGACCACCTCCTAAAACCAACAGAACTTCGAGCTTCCGCAAGCCACTTTTGTCTCCCAAAGTCTGAATCCCATGCTGGTCTGTCTCCCTGACGGACCGCCTACATTCCAAAACTACCATGCCAAAACTTCATCGAGTAACTGACCAATGCACACTCCCTAGTACCAATTTTCCAGACGCTATCATCAGAACAACTCCATGTCCATAACTAGCTGTAGCATACTGATACTTGACAGAGGACTCAGATAATCCTTCGAGTAGCAAATTCATCCCTGTAACGGTTAGACTCATATGAGAGCTGCGCTACAGGGTCAAACCCATTACTCTGAGATTATTCAGTTCGTCTGTAAGTGACTTAGTGCCTTCGTTTGGTGAGCTAATTCGCGCACCAGGTTCCTTACAGTACTCCCTTCTATCCGATCATCCTGCTGTCTCTTAACCACTATTCGGATGAACTGATACTACCTTGCTCGGCAACTGATCTGACATTACTTGGATTACCGGACTCCCACCGGCTACTAATTCCAAGTACAATCTCTCAGTCGCTTCCAGCGACCTCCGACGAAATTCAGCTATCGAAACCCCTCGAACCACACCCTTACTCACGGCTCCAGCATTCCTGCTGACCCTCTCGATCGTACTGTCTGACTACTCATTTGCCAGCGAATCTACTACTAAAGGTGAATGCTACCCAAAACCGTTGTATTCTTACATCACTCCTGGTCTCCAATGACCTACCGCCTTCTGAATCCAATCATAATGTGGCCTACTCACATCCGAGCGGCTGCCCCGCCCTATTTTAACTATCTGAAAGACCCTGCCAGCGAATCACGTATCTGATACATTCGTACTATCGAATAGGGACCGATGAATGCTACGGGCTACCCCGTAGTCTTATTATACTTGTTCTGCCAACTAGTGAATGCTACAGGCCACCCCCATAGTCTTACAACACTTATGCGCTACCAGCCAACTAATGCTACGGGTCACCCCACAGTCTCACCACACTTCTACACTATCTACCGACTAATGCCACGGCCACCCTGCGGTCTTACTATACTAATACTACGGGCCACACCGCAGTCTAATTATATTAATGCTATGGGCCACCCCGCAGCCGAACTATACTAATATACGATTGCTACGGGCCACACCGCAGTCTTACAACTCCCCTACTCTATCTGCTAACTAGTGAATGCTACGGGCCACCCCATAGTCTTACAACACTCCTACACTATCTGCTAACCATTGCTACGGACCACCCCGCAGTCTTACCACACTTCTCATACTATCTGACCACCGGTGAATGCTACGGCTAACCCATAGTCTTACAACACCTTCCACACTGACTCGACCGCTAACCATGGTCTTTTGCTGACTCCTAATCCGTATACCCATAATCGAGCATACAAGCACAATCTAGTACCCCAAGCTGTACTCATGTCCTAACTGAAACTCCCAACCGATTCGTCTAAAACCTGCTATTAGACACCCCGAGAATGCGATCTCATAATTGGCAAGTTTTCCG